TGAACATTTATTCATTTAATATAGTTCCTTAAATCATCTAAGTATTCTTTTTTATAAGCTATATTTTTATTATTAAATGATTTTATTGTAAACTACACTTGAGACCACTACTTTATCTAGAAAACTGTATTGTTTGCCATAAAGAAAAGGCTTTATTACTCTAAAAATAATATGAAGTTAAAATGTTTTTTATTTTATCATTTTTTTGAGACAGAGTCTCACTCTGTCACCCAGGCTGGAGGGCAGTGGCGCGATCTCGGCTCACTGCAACCTCCACCTCCTAGGTTCAAGTGATTCTCCTGCCTCAGCCTCTTGAGTACCTGGGATTACAGGTGCACACCATCGTACCCAGCTGATTTTTAGATTTTATTTTATTTTATTTTTTGTAGTTCCTGAGTCCTTATGGTCTTGAACTCCTGACCTCAGGTGATCCACCTGCCTTGGCCTCCCAAAGCACTAGGATTACAGGCATGAGCCACCATGCCCAGCCACTAAAAATGTTTTTAAGTTCTTCCTAGATACCATGTCCTTCCAGAGGTTCTGAGCCTAAGGCTTCTCTCTATTTGAAAACAAAGATTAGTGAATGTTGGGAAGGCATTTAAATACAGAAGCACCATACTGAGACCTTGATACAGTCAGGGAATATAGAGAACTGAAAAGAGAATATGGGTTTTTTAAGTGTGATCCTATGTCCATTGTATCACCTGAGAATATTCTGGCATACCACCAGTGCATGTCCCACACTTTGAGAACACCGGGAAAGGTCATCTTTAAGATTTTACTGGAACAAACAAAATCCCAATGACTTGTAGATTTTTAAGTTCCCCCAAACAGCTATTGAGTCATAGTCAATATCCAAATCATCAAATATTTAGAAAAATCACAGTTGGGAAAACTTACTATAGGGCTAAAAGTGTACTCATAGGAAAATTCATAGCCAAAATTATTTCATTATAAAAAAGTAAAAATAATTAGCTGGGAGATAGTGGCACGCGCCTGTAATCCCAGCTACTCAAGAGGCTGAGGCAAGAGAATTGCTTGAGCTTGGGAGGTAGAGGTTGCAGTGAGCCAAGATCGTGCCACTGCACTCCAGTCTGGGTGACAGATTAAGACCCCGTCTCATAAAATAAAATAATGAAAATAAATTAAACACTCACCTTAGAAGTTACTGAGTCTCTTTGAGTTGGGAGGGTGTTTTGATTTTGTTGGCAGGCCCATCCCATCTGCCCCTAGAGAAGTGACCTCTTCACAGACCCAGAATGAGCCACAGCCATTCTTGGTGACAATATTGGGGTGAACGGTGGACATTTTCAAAAAGGACTGTAGTAGATGCTGCTGGTTGCCTAGGCAATATCAATTCCCACATCCTCTTTCTCATAGAACCCAGACCCGGCTGGAGTCACTTCTTTCCTCCATATTGCCATCTCCTTCTTTAGGCCAATTGCTGTTTCCTGCCTGCTGATTGGCCGAAGCGTGGGACACATGACACAATTCTGGTCAATAATACAAGAGGAGAGGCCAGCTAGGACACTTCAGGGAAAAAGAGAAAGGAAGAGCTGTCTTCACTTCTACTGAATGAGGCTGAATCTGGATGTAATGTCTGGATCAAGGGCGCCATCTTGTGTTCTTGAGGAAAGCTGGCGTGACGAAAAAGCCAGCACACCAGGCATTGCGTTGCCTCGCACAGAGCCTGACGCCTGGTTGGAATCCATACTTAAATGCTGAAGGACTACATGAGGGACAGAACTGGGTCCTTAATGAATCACAGAGACCCTGAATTAACCAGCCTTAATATCCTCCCTAACTTGGGACATCCTGCTATCTGACACAATAAATATCCTTTTTTTTTCTGCCAGTGGAAGTTTTCTGTTACTTGCTGCCCAAATCACATAAATATATGAACACTACAACCACAATTCTCTCTTCTTCCTCACTGATTTGGGTATTGACTATGATTCAACTGCTGCCTGGGGGAATTTTTTTTTTTTTTTTTTTTTTTTGAGACAGAGTCTCACTTATCGCCCAGGCTGGAGTGCAGTGGTGCAATCTCAGCTCTCTGCAACCTCCACCACCGTCCCCCCAACTACCCCCAACAGGGCTCAAGCAATTCTCTCACCTCAGCCTCCTGAGTAGCTGGAATTACAGGGGTGCCCCATCACACCCACCTAATTTTCATATTTTTAGTGGAGACAGGGTTTCACCACGTTGGCCAGGCTGGTCTGGAACTCCTGACCTCAAGTGATCTGCCCACTTTGGACTCCCAAAGTGCTGGGATTACAGGTGTGAGCCACCATGCCCAGCCTGCCTGGGGGAATTTAAAGGGTCCCAGGAATCACTCAATCATCACAAAGCCTGTGCCCACTTTCCAGATAAGGGAACTGAGGCTCGGGAGCATTTCTAATCTACCCACAAATACCCAGAAGAGTTCCTGAGGCAAGACTCAAATCAGTTCTCTTGAATCCAAATCCAGAGTTGTTTTTTTTTTTTTTTTTTTTTTTTTTTTTTTTTTTGAGACAGAGTTTGCTCTCGTCACCCAGGCTGGGGTACAATGGTGAGATCTTGGCTCAATGCAACCTCCACCTCCCAGGTTCAAGCAATTCTCCTGCCTCAGCCTCCCAAGTAACTGGGATTACAGGCAGGCAACCACCACACCTGGCTAATTTTTGTATTTTTAGTAGAGACGGGGTTTTGCCATATTGGCTAGGCTGGTCTCAAACTCCTGACCTCAGGTGATCTGCCCTCCTCAGCCTCCCAAAATGCTGGGATTACAGGCATGAGTCACTGCACCTGGCCCAAATCCAGAGCTTTCTAGGACATTCCCCGACATGCCAACATCCCCCCCTCACTATCCCTGCTTGCACCCGAGGAAAAATAGGCCCCCTCCTTGTCCCAAACAACCAGCTTTAAGGGAAGATCCAGGTGGCCATTTTGTCTTCTGACCAACCCAGGGGAAAAGCCCAACAGCAACAACTTAAGAGTGTTTTCACTTCAATCAGAGTAGAGGAAAAGGAAAAGTGTTTCTCTCTCTGCCCCAGACCTACTGCCTTTCTCAGAGTTGAGCCCCAGGGGCTCAGTCACTTGGCTACTCCTTCCCAGAGCCTGGCCTGAGGGAAAGATGTTTGTCTGCAGCCTCTGAAGAGCTGACCTGCCACTCTTAGCTGGGGTTCCCTGTGGTTCTGGGGAGGTTCACCAGGAAGCACCTGGTCACCCGGACATGGGGACTGGCTCAGGCACAGCCTTCGACACAACCCATCTAACCAGAATGGCTTTGGGGATGCCTGTTGAGAGCGCTGGCTGAGGACCCCGTCTGGGTGTGGGAACAGATAAAAAATCATGAAGCCCTGGGAAGAATTGGGCTACCCTGGACCACGAGGGGTACAATCTGCTCCTGGAAAGCAATGTAGGAGGAGGTCAGGGGTTGGAGCCCCCTGGTCAGACTTGATGATAATCTGAGTCCTCCCTCCTGCTCATGGAGCTTGGTAGACTCATGTCCCTCCTGCCACTGACTCTCCCCTTCTGACAGATGAAGAGGTGGAGGCCCAGAGAGGTAAAGTGACTCAACTAACATTCCCTGAACCAAATAACCCATTGCCAATGCAAATCCAGGACTGCTCAACCCAAGCCCCGTGCTATTTTCCACTGCAGCTGCCCTTGGCCTTGGTCTCCTCCCAGACCCAAGCTCTTCTCAACTGAAGCTTCAGAAGGATGTGAGATCCCAGCCCCAGGCTGGACCCGGAGCTGGGAGGCCATGGGAAACTCTAGCTGGCTGTGGTTTCCTTGGCTTTGGGGTGGGGGCAGCAGGGTGGGTGTTTGTGGGGTCCCTCCTCATGCCAGGAGGTCTGGAGCTGCCTCAGAACTTGATTGGTGTTGGGTGTGACCCCAGGCTAATGGCTGCCCTGGTAAGGTGATATGGTTTGGCTGTGTCCCCACCCAAATCTCTTGAACTATAGCTCCCACAATTCCCACGTGTCGTGGGAGTGACCTGGTGGGAAGTAATTGAATCATGGGGGTGGGTCCTTCATGTGCTGTTCTGGTGATAGTGTCACAAGATCTGGTGGTTTTAGAAGGGGAGTTTCCCTGCACAAGCTCTCTTCTCTCTTGCCTGCTGCCATGTAAGATGTGCCTTTCACCTTCTGCCATGACTGTGAAGCCTCCCCAGCCACATGGAACTATGAATCCATTAAACCTCTTTTTCTTTATAAATTACCCAGTCTCGACTATGTCTTTATCAGCAGCGTGAGAACAGACTAATACAGAAGGGAAGAGGGTCAGCCTCACCTCTGGCTCATGGCTCAGAGCTCCAGGTGGCATGCGGCCCCGTGGACAGACACAGGCAGGCAGTCCTCAAGGAGGCACCATCCCACTCAGCCAGCAACACCACGACCCCCACCCACCCCAGCTCCACAAGCACTGCCAATGTGCCCCTGCTACCGTAGTCCTCACCACAGCAACCCGCGTGCACACCCAATACCCCTGCTGACACTCCAGGCTCGCCCACTGCTACGCCTCCCCACTTGCAGGACAGCCCTCCCTGCAGCACTCCCAGCATGACTGTTCCCTGATGAGCAGCAGAGCCCCCGCACCTGCATCGTCAACCCCCAGCCAGCATTACTCTCCGCTGCCCAAATGTACTGTCTCCACGGGGATCATTATCCCCCAGCCAGCACTACTGTCACCCCCACCAGCATCACTCTTGCCCTGCCAACTTGACTCTCCCTGACCAGCATTATTACCCCCACCAGCATCACCCTCCTCCCCTCCCTCCACCCCCACCTTCCCTACAGCCACCTCAGCCACCTCTCAGGCCACCATCACCATCACAATCACCCAGTCCAGCCCCCAACCACCAACACTCTAAATGCCTCCAGGTCAGCACTTCTGCCCTCACTCTCACCCCTGCCCCTGGCTCCCCCCAGGCATTTCCTAGCTCTCCCATCTCCCTCGATGTAGTCTCATGCCTGTTACCATCCCTCCCACCCCCACCATCGTCCTGCCATCTCCACCATCAATGAAAAAATATTTATTGAGCACCAGCAAATCCCAGACGCTCTACAGAACATACAGAAGGCACAGCCCCATGCCGAGGGCCACAGCCCCTTGCAAAGCTGCCACGCTGCCAAAAATGGTGGCACATGCAGCTCAGGCACAGGCTGAGGCTGGGGCTTGGCTGGGCAGTGCACTTGGAACGGGGTCCTGAGGCCTCTGCCAGGTTCCAGCTGGGGCAGGGGTCACGTCGCTTCCTGAGAGCAGAGCAAATAAATAATGGAGAGGCAGGGGCAGGGGCCTGAATCCTGTGGTGGAGGGGCTCTGGCGTTGGCTTATGTGACTCCATAGGAGCAAGACAGGTGGCCGGGAGCCCCCACCCCAGGGTGGGGAGGCAGGGCCTGGGGACCAGAGGGTCCTGGGGCCTCCCTGGCACCTCCACTGGGCCCTCGCCTCTGGAGCCAAAGCAGGGTGTGGGGGGACACCCCAGAAGGCACTGCTGAAATGCGGCTAGACTAGAAATGGATGGGCAGAGAGGCTGGGGCTGGGCTGCAGTCCCTAGAGCGGGGCGTCATCAGTCCTCCACTTGGGGGGGTAACCCTGCTGGTGGCCATCGCAGCGGGGGTTCCCCATGCTGTCCAGAGGCACCACCACCTCGTCCGGGTTCGAGTTCTTGTTCAGTTCCACCACGCGGGGTACCACCGAGGACCAGCGATCTGCACCGCGAGCACATCAGAGGGAGGGGTTGGGGGTTGGTGGAGAGACAGTGTGCATATATTGAGTGCCTACTGTGTACTGGGCACTCCACAGTGCTCTGAAGGGGTTGGGGGGGTGTGACTATGCTCATTTTACAGAGGTTGAAACTGGGGCTCAAGAGAGGTCAAGGTGCCTCCCCAGGAGAGAATGGAGGAACCAGGATTCAAGCTTGGAGCCGAATGCCCTGAGTGCCCGTGTCCTCTCCAGCTTCATCTTGCATGCTAACAGCTTACTGGACAAACACGAAGGTTTTCTCCACATGGGCACGGCTGAGGAGCTCGTCCTCCCTCCCCAGGCCAGCTCATGTCAACAGTAGGGATGGCCAGGATGAAGCCATGTAGGTGAGGTACCCCAGGCACTCACGGGCAGCAGAGGAAACTCAGGGGCACACTCTCTCATTCTGCAGACACGGACACCGAGTCCCGGAAAGGAGCAGGACTGCTCAAAGCAAACTTGTGATGAGAAGGGACTGGGGCTCCCCTCTGCACCCACCCTTCCACTCACCCCTGCGGAGGCGGCCCACGGTGTGTGAGAAGCCATAATACTGGTAGGTCTCATTCTTGCCCGGGTCCTCATTGATGATGCCCAAGTTCTGGTTCCAGTGAGACCAGTTCACCTCATCCACCCTGGTGGGGCCCAAGCAGAGGGTCATGGGGAGCCCCACAGAGATGTTCCCTATGCCACCATCCCCAGCACACCCTCCTTTTTTTGTTATGGTAACATTTACGTAACAAAGCTGGGCGTGGTGGCTCATGCCTGCAATCCAGCACTTTGGGAGGCCAAGGTGGGTGGATCATTTGAGGTCAGGAGTTCAAGACCAGCCTGGCCAACATGGTGAAACCCCGCCTCTACTAAAAATACAAAAAAAAAAAAAAAAAAATTAGCAGGGCATGGTGGCCTGTAGTCCCATGGTGGCCTGTAGTCCCACCGACCCAGGAGGCTGAGGCAGGAGAATCGCTTGAACCTGGGAGGCGGTTGCAGTGAGCCAAGATCACACCACTGCACTCCAACCTGGGGGACAGAGCGTGAGACTCCATCTCAAAAAAAAAAATTGGTTGTGTGTGTATTTGTGTGTGTATTGGTTGTGTGTGTGTGTATGTGTGTGTGTGTGTATTGGTTGTGTGTATGTGTGTGTATACACACACACACACAAAATTTCCATCTTAATCATTTTTGAGTATACAATTCAGTAGCATTAAGCACATCCACACTGTGTGACCATCACTGCTGTCTATTTCCAAAACTCTTCCATTTCCCCAAGCAGAAATTTTTTCTTTTATCCTTCTTTTGAGACAGGGTCTCACTCCATTGCCCAGGCGAGGGTGCAGTGTCACTATCACAGCTCACTGCAAACTTGACCTCCCAGGCTCAAGTGATCCTCCCACTTCAGCCCCCCGAGTAGCTGGGATTACAGGCATATGCCACCACACCTGGCTAAATTTTTTAAATTTTTTTTGTAGAGATGGGGTTTCACTGTGTTAATCTTGAACTCCTGGGCTCAAGCAATCCTCTTGCCTTGCTTCCCAAAGTGTTGGTACTACAGTCACCACGCCTGGCCCAGATAATATTTCACTGTACGCATAACCCACATTTTGTTTATCCACTCATTTGTTTTCACATATTATCTTTTTTTATTTTTTACATATTATCCTATCTATTCATTTTTGTTTGTTTTGAGACAGAGTCTTGCTCTGTCCCCCAGGCTGGAGTGCAGTGGCACAGTCTCGGCTCACTGCAACCTCTACCTACCAGGTTCAAGCAATTCTCCTGCCTCAGCCTCCTGAGTAGCTGGGATCACAGGTGCCCGCCACCATGCCCGGCTAGTTTTTGTGTTCTTAGTGGAGATGGGATTTCACCTGTTACCCAGGGTGTCTCAAACTCCTGACCTCAAGCAATCCTCCTGCCTTGGCCTCCCAAAGTGCTGGGATTACAAGCGTGAATCACCACACCCAGCTAGGATTTGAGCTTTGGATTCAAACTGAACAGAGGCTGGGGGTGGTAGCTCACACCTGGAATTCCAGCATTTTGGGAAGCTGAGGTGGGATGATCGCTTGAGACCAGGAGTTTGAGACCAGCCTGGGCAACATAGCAAGAACCCCATCTCTACAAAAAAATTAAAAATTGGTCGGACATGGTGGCATGAGGAGGCTGAGATGGGAGGATTGCTTGAGCCCAGGAGTTGGAGGCTGCAGTCAGCTATGATCACACCACTGCACTCCAGCCTGAGCAACCCTGCCTCTAAAAACAAACATAAAAAATGGAATTGAACTGATCAGCTGGCCTAGGAGGTGGGTGCTGTTATTGTTCCCATTTTACAGATGAGGAAACTGACTTTGCCTGACTCCAAACATTCTGCTTATGCTCAGCCAGGTGCAGTGGCTCAGGCCTGTAATCCCAGCACTTTGGGAGGCTGAGACGGGTGGATCACGAGGTCAGGAGATCAAGACCATCCTGGCTAGCACAGTGAAACCCCGTCTCTACTAAAAATACAAAAAATTAGGCGGGCGCGGTGGCAAGCGCCTGTAGTCCCAGCTACTCGGGAGGCTGAGGCAGGAGAATGGCGTGAACCCAGGAGTCAGAGCTTGCAGTGAGACGAGATCGTGCCACTGCACTACAGCCCGGGAGACAGAGCAAGACGCCGTCTCAAAACAAACAAACAACATTCTGCTTATGCTTTATGCTGACAACCACTTTAAAGAATGAATCAACTGAAAAGAAAAGATTCATGAAGGGGTTCACCTAAGAAGCTGGCACTCCCTGTGCCTCTGGAACACAGAGTCATTCTGCAGATGGGCTGGGTGAGGTCTCCAGCCCTGGAAACTGCAGATTCCTCAGCTTCCCATTTCACCCAAGGCACTAGAGCCCACCCCACTGTTTGCTAGATAGAGGGTGATGCTCTGAAATGAACCCACCATCCAAGTCTCTGCTTCCCGCTGAGCAAGGAACAGGGGAGCCTGTGGTATCCCAATGCGCGTCGGGCACTGGCAGAGCACTTCTCATGTGCTGACCTGTCTAATCCGCACCACCAGCCTAGGAGCCCATGCGATCATTGTCTCATTTCACAGATGAAGAAACTGAGGCTGAGAGAGGTGGGCCAACTTGCCTAAGATCGCCTGGTGGAAATAAACTCTGCTTGGGCCTCTTGGGGCCTCAGTGGCTCCAGAAATTGCAATGGGTAGACGACGCTGGAGCAGCAGGGGCCCCGAGCCAGTGGGGACGGTTCCGCCCTGCCTGCCCGGCCCCACTGCCCCAGCCTCACCTGAAGCACCACCTGCGGTCGGGAGTGCCGTCTGAGCTCTTGCCCACAGTGACCATCTCCCCGGAGCGGAAGGCCTTCCTCAGGAACACGGGGAAGGAGCGCTCAATGTCCAGGATGGTGGTGGCCCACTGCGGAGAGGGAGGGTCAGGAGGGACCTCAGTGAGCCTCACAGCCCGCGCCCGCCGCTCTGATGGCGGAAATGAGACAAGCGGCCAGGGTGGGCCCAGAACTAGGCATTTACACTCCTACCGCCCCCTAGACACAGGATGTAGAAACTCAAACACCCACAGGTGGCAGGCAGGAAAACAAATGGGTGAAACAGGATCAGGTGCAGAAAGGCTGCAGTCCAAGCCCCATCACACTGACACAGCAGTCGCCACTCAGTGCTGAGAACATGAGGGAGGGGTGGAGACTGGGGCGAACAGGGAGCAAATGCCCCCATTTAAGAGGGTAGCTGCCACTTACCCCACCTGAGGGCTCCCAGGCAGGAATTTGGACCCTGCACTGCCTGGGGCTTCCAACTTTTCAAGAAAAGCCGGAAATCTGGATTTTCATAGGGAAACTCTTAATTTTTAAATTTGCAGTTTTTTTGTTTTTTTTTTTTAATATAATGGTCTGAGGCTGGGTGTAATGGCTCACACCTGCAATCTCAGCACTTTGGGAAGCCAAGGCCCGCCGATCGCTTGAGCTCAGAAGTTCAAGACCAGCCTGGGTAACATGGTGAAACCCCATCTCTACAAAAAATACAAAAATTAGCCAGGTGCAGTGGTGCACACCTTAGTCCCAGCTACTTGGGAGGCTGAGGTCGGAGAATCACTTGAGCCTGGGAGGCAGAGGTTGCAGTGAGCCAAGAGCGTGCATTGCACTCCAGCCCACAGGATGCCCTGTTTGCATCCTGTAATGCCCAGTGGGGAAACTGAGGCCCAATGAAGTAAGCAATACAGATAAAGGTTAAGAGCAGGCCGGAGTTGTTTCCCTCAGACGCAGTCCTGGGAGGACAACCTTGGGCCTTTTTTTTTTCACTGCACCATTTTCCTGAAATGCACAAAGTAAATATGGGTGCTGTATTCCTGGGCCATGGGGCAGCACTGTTTATTAGGACACCAGGTTTGGAGGCTGCACCTGGCCTGGGAGGGCTGTGATCCCAGGGCCTGCGCTTCCCAGGATTGTACAGAAAGCTTTTGGGAAGTAAAGGCTGCAGCTCCCCGGGGCCAAGGCAGCCCCTATCTCCACTGGTTTCTCCTCTAGGAAGCATGCTCACGGTTGCTAGTAAAAGACCCCCGTGAGAATGCTGACATCCCTGTGCTGGCGTGCTGAAGCATAAAAGCTGCCCCCTGGGCTCAGCATGGGACACCTGCTGAAACGCTGATGGCCACTGAGCACTTTCTGAGCTGGCAGAAGTCACTCAGTCATGCTGGGTGGAGCCAACTGTGTCCTGTGAGCTGAACCACAAGGAGAATCTGAGTCCACTGCTGGTGGCCAGGCAAGAAGCCACCTCGAAATTCATGAGGCAGCTCCGGGAAGTCAGCAGCAGCCTCTGATGCCCATTTTACAGACAGGGAAGTGGAGGCAGAATGAGAAGACACGGCTTGCTCAGAATGGAAGGCCGAGGAAGCCAGTCGGGTGAGTGTCCTTAGAAGGACAAGGGTGGCCGGTGGGATGGGGCTGGGGGCCCTGGGGCCTCACCTGCAGCTTCCAGATGTGCTTGCTCTCCTTGGAGACCTGGCCCACCGTCTCGCCCATGAGGGCAATGAGCATGTTGAGGAGCAGCACAAAGGTGAGAATGATGTAGGTCACCAGCAGGATGATGAAGACCACGGGGTACTTGGTGCTGCTCAGCATCTCCAGGTCGCCCATGCCGATGGTCAGCTTAAACAGGTCCAGGAGGAAGGTGCTGAAGGTCTCGCTGTCGCGGCACGAGGGGTAAGTGGGCACTGTGCAGTTGGTCTGGTCCTCATTGCACACTTTCAAGTTGGCACACGGGTTCAGGAGGGAGACCAGGGCTGTGGGAGGGGTGGGGGTGGCACTCGCTGAGTGTGAGGACACGCACAGAGAGGTGGAGGGTGTCATTTTCATTTGCTGGAGGGGAAAGCTGAGGCCTAATGAGGGGAGCACCCTGGCCCACACGCTGACCTGTGTCACCCTGCACGTCAGCCAAGCCACACCAAACCCAGGTCCTCCTGATCCCAAAGCCTTTGAAGCCTTTGCTCTTTCCATAAACTCTTGCTGATAGGAAGAGGTTTTCTCTCTCTCTCTCTCTCTCTCTCTCTTTCTGTGATGGGGTCTTGCTATGTTGCCCAGGATGGAGTGCAGTGGCTACTCACAGGCGCAATCTCACTACTGAAAAGCATGGGAGTTTTGACCTGCTCTGTTTCCAACCTGGGACAGTTCACCCCTCCTTACACAACCTGGTGGTTCCCTGCTACTGGGAGGGAAGAGGTTTTCAGGATCTAGTCCAGGGAGGGTCTCAGTTTTCCCCACCAGGGGACATTTGACAATATCTAAAGACATATTGGGTTGTTACGACTGGGGGTGGGGGTGCTACTGGCATCAGGTGGGTGGAGGCCAGGGGTGCTGCCCAACACCCTGCAATGCAGAGGATGGTCCCTGCCACTAAGAATGATCTGGTCTCAAATGTCAATAGTGTTGGGAAATCCTAATGCAACCTACCATTCTTAGAGGTACTGGGGGCTCTGGAATGTCCCTATTCCCAGGGGCAGACTCTCTCTCTGACAGCTTCCCACTGCACCCCAACCCAGAGAGGAAAAATGGGGGCTGAAACCAGGCACCAGTCCTGACTGTCCCCGAAGCCATGTTCTCTAAGGGGCCTCTCCTGTTCCAGACATCTCAAACTCATCATGGTTCTCCTTTCCTACTAAGCTCAGGTGAAGCTTCAGATTCCTTCTCAACACAGTTTGGCAGCAACAACCTGTCCCTAAACCAGCCAGGGAGGGGAGCATGAAGAAGGCTCAGTCCCATCAGTCAGTGGGGCATAGAATGTCATATTGCCTGCAACCAGAGATCAGAGTATGCAGATTTCAACTCATATGCTAATGCTCTTCAGTTGTATAGCACCTTCTCAACAGAGAAGGATTCTGAGACCTTGTCTGGACTCACCAGAAAAACTGTTCTGTGATCCATTAGTAATGTCTGCTATGGGCACCAAAGTGTGGGAAGAGAAGCGTGTGTGTGTCCTGTTTATGTCATGTCAGCCTCAGAACCGAGATCTAGTGCATCCTATAAGGAGAAGCCCTGTGACTGAGCTGACTGCTCAGCTGCTACTCTAACCCTTGTTTCTGCTCGGTTTCAATAACTAGGACTGCAGTAAGGCTAGATCGCTGACCTGAATCCCAAACTGCTGAATCCTCGACACTGTCTAGTTTTTCCAGTGTGATCCCTGGAAGGGGAAAGCTGTACCCTGTCCCTATCTCCCTAGTGAAAACCACAATTCCACTTCCCCCCAATAATCCACATAGAGCCTTGGCCACCGTCATGGGTTAAAGTATCACCCTCATGAGATTCCTGTGCCAGGCTCGTCCCCAGATGAACCTGCTCAGATGTGAATGTGTCTGGGTCTAACCTGAGCTGGCCACTCCCCTTTGGATGCTGGGCATTGATGTCAGATCACCCACCCCTCAGGGACCAGCCCAAGGACTTGGTCAGTTTCTCCAGCCCTGGTCCCTGGTCCTTCCCTCATGGCCCATGCCACTGAGGTCCCAGAATGCTTCTGAGTGGCATTGTGACATCAGGGAGAAGGTGTATCAAAGGGAGCTGATGTCAGGCTTTAAGAAAATACCTGGGCTAGTAGTTTAATTATTAAATTTTATCCTTCCATGTATCCATGCCCCTTCAATGTGGCTTTACAGCTTCTCCCACCAAGAAGTGGAGTCTAGGCCAGGCACGGTGGCTCGTGCCTATAATCCCGCACTTTGGGAGGCTGAGGTGGGAGGACTGCTTGAGCCCAGGAGTTCAAGACCAGACTGGGCAACATAGCGAGACCCTGTCTCCACCCAAAAACAAGAAAAAAAAGAAATGACGTCTATTTCCCCATCCGTTGAATCGAGGCTGGCCTTGGGACTTGCTTTGGCCAACAGAGTAAGGCAGCAGTGATGCCATGCCAGGAGGTGTCCTTGAACACTTCTGCTCATGTTCTTAGAAGCCTAAGGCTACCATGTGGACAAGCCCAAGCTAGCTGGCCAGAGATGAGTGACCACGTGGAAGATAGATAGCAAAGCCCCTCTAACCAAGTCCATACTAGCCAGCCTGCCAGCTGACCACAGGCACAAGAGCCTGTAGGGATCAACCAAACCTGGCCCAGGGCAGCACAGCCACCCAGCTGACCCACCGACTCATAAGCAATAATAAGTTGGCCTGGTACAGTGGCTCACGCCTATAATCCCAGCACTTTGGGAGGCCAAGGTGGGTAGATCACTTGGGGTCAGGAGGTCGAGACCAACCTGGCCAACATGGTGAAACCCCATCTCTACCAAAAATATAAAACTTAGCCATGCATGGCGGCACACGCCTGTAATCCCAGCTATTCGAGAGGCTGAGGCAAGAGAATCGCTTGAACCTGGGAGGCAGAGGTCGCAGTGAGCCAAGAGCACCACTGCCCTCCAGCCTCAGCTACAGAGACCTTGCCACCAAAAAAAAACAATAATAATAATAATAATAAGTGGGTGCTATTTTAAGCCACTAAGCTTTAGGTGGCTTCCTTTGTAACAATAGCTGACACTCTAGTTTTACCATTCACTAGCTTTTTTTCTTTTTTTTTTTTTCTTTTGAGACAGAGTCTCGCTGTGTTGCCCAGGCTGGAGTGCAGTGGCGCCATCTTGGCTCGCTGCAACCTCCACCTTCTGGGTTCAAGCGATTCTTGTGCCTCAGCCTTCTGAGTAGCTGGGTCTATAGTTGCGCGCCACCATGCCTGTCTAATTTTTGTATTTTTTGGTAGAGACAGGGTTTCGCCATGTTGGCCAGGCTGGTCTCAAACTCCTGACCTCAAGTGATTCACCCACCTTGGCCTCCCGAAGTGCTGGGATTACAGGTGTGAGCCACTGCACCCAGCCACCATTCACTGGCTTTTGAACTTGTGCTAGTTATTTAACCCTCCTAAGCCTCAGTTTCCTTTTCTATAAGAGGGGATAATAAAGGCACTTAGCTTACAGGCTTGTTGGGGGTCAAGAATGGAAACGTTACTTAGTCTAGTGCCTGGTACACAAATAAGAACTCAGTGGCCGGGCATATTGGCTCACACCTGTAATCTCAGAATTTTGGGAGGCCGAGATGGGTGGATCACCTGAGGTCAGGAGTTCAAGACCAGCCTGGCCAACAAGGTGAAACCCTGTCTCTACTACAAATACAAAAAAAAAAAAAAAATTAGCGGGGCGTGGTGGCAGGAGCCTGTAATCCCAACTACATGGGAGGCTGAGGCAGGAGAATTGCTTGAACCTGGAATGTGGAGGTTGCAGTGAGCTGAGATTGCACCACTGCACTCCAGCCTGGGCAACAGGAGTAAAACTCCATCTCAAAAAAAAAAAAAAAAAAAAGAACTCAGCAGGGCTGCTATTGTCCCCAATATATCATGGCTACTGTTCCCGTCCTTGCACCACCCCTGCCAGGCCCACCTGAGCACCCAGAGCTCACCTGAAGCGTAGCCGATCATGAAGAGCAAGTAGACCAGCAGGAATCGGAAAAGGTCCTTGAAGAGGATCTAAAGACCCCAGTGGGATTATGGAGGCAAACAGGAGACATGTGGTTTCTCACTTTCCCCATTTCTCCATCTCCACCCTGGTCCCACCCCAGTGTACAGACCATGCCTCCTGCCCTCACGGTACCCGGCATCCTCAGGTCTGCAGGCGCATAAGTGTGCATGTGGTGTGTGTGGCTCCCTCCAGGAACACACGAGTCCAGAGGGCCCTCCCAGCCCGTACCTTCTGGATCATGATGCTATAGGTCCCCGTCAGCTTCAGCCCACGGGTGAAGTAAAGGGCATTCATCCAGCCCAGGACCAGGGCAAAGACCATCACGGCCAGGTAGGCCTCAATCCCTGCCAGGTAGAGGGCTGCTGAGACGATCACCAGGACAGAGTAGATGAAGCTGCAGTGCAGCAGAGACCACAAGAGAGGCCAGAGGGGAGAGGGGACAATGAGGCTCCGGAGGGGGAGACAAGCCTCCAAGCCCTCCAGGGTATCAGGACTTCCCAATGCCTTCTAGACCCCCAGGAAAGAAACAAAGTGGATTAGCAGGGTTCCCCAGCTTTCTGTTAACAACAACATTCAATGAGCTGGCAATTAATCCTGAGGTCCCACAAGATTCTGAAGTGATGCCCCTTGGAATTGCTAAAGACAGATTTAGTGGTGTTCAGTGGAGACTTTGTGGCTAAGTGAATTTCATCGTTCTCCAACTCTAAGGGAAATGTGGAAGAGGTAACACACACGCAGTAACTCTCTCATCCTGTGTCCCAGGCAGACATCATTAATCAATCCCAACTCTTTCCCACTAAACACAGACACAGGTGCAAAATTCTTAACATGGCCCTTCAGGCAGACATTAGCAATCATTCACCAGCATAATTATTTCTATCCATGGTATATATGATAACTCCCTAGCAATCAGAATTTTTCTTTAACCAGAAAACCCTGTTGTTTGTGGCTTTGTCCTGACTTTGGGTTAGAGCTGCCCAGGTTGGGTGGATTCATTCTAATAGAATCACCTCTTTCCTGAATCTGGATGACCTAGCAACCCAAACCCACCTTCCTCACCCAAAACCTGCTGGCCCAGGGACCTCCACTTACTAGAGCAGCTGGAAGGAGCCATCAATGAAGAGAGAATTCACTCCAGGGCATTTCTTCATGAACAAGTCTTTGATCTGGAAGACAGGAGGGGGCACGTGAAAGGGGTGGGGCCAGCAGGAAAGGAGAAGAGGAAAGAGGAGACAGAGAAAGGGACAGAAGATAGGGAGGCAGAGGCTGGTACAGAGAAAAGACAAAGGACTCTTTCCTGTTAGAAAACGAGAAAAAAGCAGATAGAGAACATGGGATTGGAGGAGGTAGAAGAGAAATGGGAAAATAAAAGGAGGAAGGAAAGGAGAAGGACGATTTGGAGGAGAGAGAAGAGAAGAAGGAGAGAAAAGAGGTGCAGGAAGAGAAGAGGAAGAGGAGAGCAGGCAGAGTGGGGGACATGGGGGCCAGGCACTCACGTTGGTGAAGAAGAACAGGACCCCAGTGAAGAGCGTAATGACCTCGCCAGCCAGCCGCAGGTAGTCCACCGTGGTGCGGTAAGGGTACGGTGGCTGGGGAGCAGCAAGGGCACACAGGTTGTCACCCGGCCCCTCCAACATCTGGCCCCCAATCCAGATGTTCCCCCAGACCCAAAACATCTGGATCCCATGTAGCCTCCTCCTTCACTCTCTTGCTCCTGAGTCCCCCTCCTCCCAGCTCAGGGCCACCCCTGCATGTTGGAAGGCGCCTCCCCAACCTGTTCCTAAACCTTCTCCAGTTCCTCCTACAGGGGACCCAGAGGGACGAGGTTGTGCCCCCGTCCTGCATGGCTCAGCCAGTGCCTGCCCCAGCCCCTGCCCGGTCCCTGGGCACTCACTGTGCCCTCCAGTGGCTGGTAGTAGGCGGTGAGGGTGAAGATGACCATGGCGCATAGGTAGGAGACCACGTTGATGTAGAAGGACACGGCCCCGAACTTGCGCCACTTGTCCCGCAGCAGTTCATTGATGGGCTCCACAGCCAGCATCTCGTGGCGGTTCTGTGAGAGGCAGGGTGGTCAGGGGCTGCCTTCCTGAGGTGGGGGGTCCTGGCAGGCTGCCCCGGCTGTGCTTTCCCCCACCCTCCACCCCGATAGCGCTTTCTCTTTCCATCCATTCCTCAGCTGCGTTCAAGGATTCATGGGGAACTGGACAGATACTGAACATCAGCCCCAAGCTCCCGCACTCACCATTTGAGATTCTGCCCAATTCTGCCTCAATGTGCCTTTCCGCCCTATTCTAGCGTCACAGAACTCAGAACTGGAAAGTCCCTTAAAAGACATTTATTTTCAGGCAGGGCACGGTGGCTCACGCCTGTAATCCCAGCACTTTGGGAGTCCGAGACAGGCAGATCACCTGATGTCAGGAGTTCAAGACCAGCCTATCCAACGTGGTGAAACCCTGACTCTACTAAAACTACAAAAATTAGCCGGGCGTGGTGGCGGGCACCTGTAATCCCAGCTACTCCTGAGGCGGAGGCAGGAGAATCACTTGAACCTGGGAGGCGGAGATTGCAGTGAGCCTAGATTGTGCCACTGCACTCCAGCCTGGGCGACAAGAGCGAGACTCCGTCTCAAAAAAGAAAAAAGGACATTTATTCTCATGGTTCCCAAACTCCAATCTGTGGATAGTACCAAGCTGTTGGCCGCAAAATCATCTATGTAGCTTGCCGCAAGTATAAATCCTGGCCTCCATTCTCAGAAATTCTGATTCAGAGAGAAAGATTGGGAAATTTTTGCCCAAAGATGATAAATGATTGACTTACCACAATTCTCCAATTCTGAACCCAGGGCAGCCATCAATAATTGAGCCCTGCACAATTGTATTCATACAGTTCCCTGGGTAGACACTACCAATCAATCAGTTTGCACCTGAGATGCTAAACCTGCTGCCACTACTAATTTAAATCAAGATGGCCACTAATTCAAAAAATAAGAGAAATGAGGTCTTGCAAGGAAGCCAAGCTCACAGACCAGTAAGCCACAGGGCAGGGTTAGAAGGGTGACCACCTGCACCCAGTCCCCAGCATTTTCTGCTCCCTTTGTATAGCTTCCTAGCCCTTTAATGACTTGAGTTTCTCCATAATCATGATTTGTGCAATAACACAGCCACAGAGATGCTCTTGTAGTGTTATTCCTGATAGTTACAGGCAGAAACAAACCCAAGCGACCAACAATAACAGAACGGTTCATTTGAATATGGTACATTTACATGCAGCGACAATATTACCAAAGAATATTTAAAACTACAGAATGATGTTCACAAAATATTGCTAAGTAGAAAAATAAAAAGCTTGTTTTGTTTTGTTTTGTTTTTTGAGACAGGGTCTCCGTCTGTCACCCAGGCTGGAGTGCAGTGGCATGATCTCAGCTCACTGAAGCCTCGACCTCCCCAGGCTCAGGTGATCCTCCCACCTCAGCCTCCCAAGTAGCTGGGACTACAGGCTCGCACCACCACGCCCAGCTAACTTTTATTTTTATTTTTATTTTTGTAGAGACAGGGTTTCGCCATATTGCCCAGGCTGGTGTCAAACTCCTGGCTTCAAGCAATCCGCCCACCTTGGCTCCCCAAAATGCTGGAATTACAGGCATAATCCACCACGCCTCGCTGAAAAAAAGAGCTTTCGAAAGTTCATATAACAACCACGAATGGTAAAAGCTGACATAATCTTTACTCTGTACCAGGCCATTCTAAAATTAACCTCTTTGGTCCTCCCAACAGCCCCATGGGATATGTATGATCCTTATCCCCAGGTTACAAACGAGGAAGCTGAGACCCAGAGAGGTGGGGCCACTTGTCCTGAGACACACAGCATGTAAGTTACAGAGCCAGGATCCCAACCCAGTCCTACCTGCTCCAAAAGTCCACCTTCCCACAAGTCTTGCTCATTTCCTCACATGCCAGACACTGTTCTGGGCACTTAATTGGCACCTTCTCTTGCAGTCAGCCAACAGATCCACCACGTTGGGCACTAGAGGCTGAGGCTCTCTCCCCTAGCCCAGCCCCAGGGCCCCATCCCTGCTCCCAGCCCTGCCCCTCCTTCCTCGCACCCCATGCCCTCTCCTGGAGCCCACCTCAATCTTGCTGTTGTACACCAGGATCTCCAGCACGGAGGCCTCTTCCCCACATGTGTCCAGGGAGGAGAGGTCATAAAGCGAGGAATATACTGGCCCGTAGGCCCAGTCCTTGAACTTGCGGGACAGGTGCCGTGTGTCCTCATCTGTCACCTCCCGCCGGATGATGTGCTGAAAGATCTGCACAGGGGGCCAGGAGGGTCAGGGGGCTCACACTGGAGAGGTCCCCAGGGCTGGGCCCAGCTCAGCACATGACGCCTCCCCAGAAAACAGCTGAGCACCGGCTGCTGGAGGACCCCTTCCTCATCTTGTTTAATTCTTGCTCTTATTATCTTGGTTTACAGATAAGGAGTGGAGGCTGGGAAAAATGAAAGGTGTTCCAGAAGACACTTAACCAGTCAGCTGGAGCCAGACGGAACCGGAATGAGCCTTCAACATCTTAATTGTAATGAATATCTTCTTCGTGCCGTTAAAATAGCAACGAATCCATCTTAATAATATGTGAATTATAATACTGACGATCATATGCGGTCCTTCCTGTTACCACTCCTTCCCTGGCTTACACACAGGGAAGCTGAGGCACAGAGAGGGGTTGGGAATTGCCCAAGGTCAGGCAATGTTAGGATTTTGGGGTTTGTTTTTGTTTTGAGATAGAATCTCACTCTGTCACCCAGGATGGAGTGCAGTGGTGTGATCTCAGCTCACTGCAACCGTCACCTCCCAGGTTCAAGCAATTCTCCTGCCTCAGCCTCCTGAGTAGCTGGGATTACAGGTGCCCACTACCACACCTGGCTAATATTTCTGTATTTTTAGTAGAGACGGGGTTTCACCATGTTGGCCAGGCTGGTCTTGAACTCCTGACCTCAGGTGATCCACCCACCTCAGCCTCCCAGAGTGATGGGATTACAGGCGTGATCCACCGTGCCCAGCCAGGATTTGGGGGGTTTTTTTGAGACAGGTTCTTGCTCTGTTGCCCAGGCTGGAGTGCAGTGGCACTATCACAGCTCACTGCAGCCTCAATCTCCTGGGCTCAAGTGATCCTCCCACCTCAGCCTCCCAAAGTGTTAGGTTTACAGACATGAGCCACCGAGCCCAGCCGAAGCTAGGATTTAAGCCGGAGCCTTTCTACTGCCTCAGGGTCCTGGAATAATTGCAATTTCAGTAATTTTTGCTACATTTTTATTTATTTATTTTTACTTTGGTTTTTATTTATTTAGGATCTCACTATGTTGCCCAGGCTGGACTTAAACAATCCTCTCACCTCAGCCTCCCAACTAGCTGGCATTACAGACATGTAAGTGAGCACTTATTGCCTCTCCTGGGCTCCTTCCTAAGAGCCTTATGTGGATACCGCATTTAATTGTCACAACACCACACCAGAGGGCACTCGTATATCCCCATTTTACAGACAAGGAAACTGAGGCACAGAAAAGGGAGATGAGATGTCTGAGGTCACGCACTGGGAAGTGGTAGCCCCAGGGCTTGGACAGGTGCTCCTGCCTCTAGGGCACTCCAGACTTGGTTCCCAAACACAGTGACAGTGCCCCCCAGAGGACATTTCAGCAACGTTCTGGAGATATTTTTGGTGGTCACAAGTATAAGGGAAGAGCATCTGGTGGGTAGAGACCCGGGATGCAGATCAATGTCTGGCAAAAGCACAAGATGGTCCCCACCACAAAGAACCTGCCGCCCAAAATAATCGTGCTGAAGTTGAGAAACCCTTCTCCAGGCCCCATGCTGTGCAGCCCAGAAAGGGGAAGGAACTAGGGCAGGGGCACTCAGCAGGTTCGAGGCTGGGAGCACTGCTGGGCTACAGCCCTGGGACTCACTTTCCTATCAGCGGCGCATCCTGGCTGGTGGGGGTGGAGTGGTGAACATCCATTAGGGTGACATGAGGCAAGAGGCTCAGGGATGAAGCTAAGAAGCTTGGCTGGACACTAGGGAGCCATAGCAGGTTCTTGAGCTGGGACATCTGCACACTGGGGTTGGCGTGTTGGGAGGTGTGTGCACATATCAATAATGAATACCAGCAGCAGACCCTCATGTGTGTGTGCAGAGGGGCACAAGTGGGTGGATCAGCTGTGCCCCCAGCTGTACACTCACCCCAATCTTGCCCGTCTTGGCAGCCATCATTAGGGGTGAGAGGCCATCGTTGTTGAGCACGGCCTCCAGGTTGCTGTCGGGGAAGAGGCGGGCACACTTCAGCAGCAGCAGGTCATACATCTTGGTAACGAACTTGGTGTTCTCACGGGTGTTGTCGGCGATGGCCACCAGCGCGTGCAGCACCGTGTTGCCTCGCGAGTCCTGGCGCCGCATGTCTGCCTTCTTGTGGGGGTTCTCCGTCAGGTAGTTGACAATGTGGGGCTGGTTGGTGCAGGCAGCCAGCGACAAGGGCAGCTCCCCTACGGGCCAGGGTGGAGGGTGGGAGGTCAGCGAAGGGGGCCCAGGGTGGGACTCTGCCAGCAGACACTCGGGGGATGGACACTGTGGCACTCTGAGGATGATGGAGACAGTACCAGCAGTGGATATGAACTGCACGTTTCTCTGGGTGATGCCAGGGTGATAGGGTGTGGCTAGTTAAGGGCACAGCCATGCGAGTCGGAGGCTGTCAGGGACTGGATACATCCAATGATGGAATTATTATTATTATTATTTTTGAGACAAAGTCTCACTCCGTCGCCCAGGCTGGAGTGCAGTGGCACAATCTCGGCTCACTACAACCTCCACCTCCTGGGTGCAAGCAATTATTGTGCCTCAGCCGAGTAGCCGGGATTACAGGCATCTGCCACCACACTTGGCTAATTTTTGTATTTTTAGTAGAGACAGGATTTCACCATGTTGGCCATGCTGGTCTCAAACTCCTGACCTCAAGTGATCTGCCCCCCTTGGCCTCCCAAAGTGCCGCGATTACAGGCAAGAGCCACCGTGCCCAGCCGATGATGGAATTCTTTGTGTGACTTTGTCCCTGAGCTGCACATAATGAGTGCCTTTAAGCACGGGCAAGATTCAAAATATTTCATGAGTCCAGCGATGACAACGGCAGTGGTGGGCTTTGGGCCTGGTGATGTTGGTCCCAGCATAAACCAGATTAAAGGACACAGACAATACAGGCTGGGTGCTGACAACACAGCCCAAGGGCCTCTCATGATCCCCACTGCACAGCTGGGGAAGGTGAGGGAAGTGAGGTCACATGCCTGGAAAGTGCAGAGTGAGGATTTGGCTTTTTTTGTTGTTTTCTTTTTGCTTTTTAAAGACAGAGTCTTGCTCTGTTGTCCAGGCTGGAATGCAGTGGTGCAATCACAGCTCACTGCAGCCTCGAACTCCTAGGTTCAAGTGATCCTCCAGCCTTGGCCACCGAAGCAGCTGGGATTACAAGCACATGACACCATGCCATCTAATTTTTTTTTTTTTTTTTTGAGACAGAGTCTCACTCTGTCACCCAGGCTGGAATGCAATGGGGAAATCTTGGCTCACTGCAACCTCTGTCCCCCAGGTTCAAGCAATTCTCCTGCCTCAGCCTCCCATGTAACTAGGATTACAGGCACCCACCATCATGCCCAGCTAATTTTTGTTATTTTTGTAGAGATGGGGTTTCACCATGTTGTTGGCCAGGCTGGTCTCGAACTCTTGACCTCAGGTGATCCATCTGCCTTGTCCTCCCAAAGTGCTAGAATTACAGGCATGAGCCACCACGCCCAGCCATTTTTTAAATTTTTAAAAGAGACAGAGTCTTGCTATGTTGCCTAGCCTGGTCTCAAACTCCTGGCCTCAAGCGATCCTCCTGCCTTGACCTCCCAAAGTGCTGGGATGACAGGTGTGAGCCACCGTGCCTGGCTGGAGTGAGGATCTGAATCCAGGTCCATGGTGCCAAGTTCCCCAATAGCACTTACACCTCAGAGGCAAGGGCCCCGTGACCAAGACCGGCGTGCAGCCTGTGCTCCAGAGTGCTGTCTGCGCCCATGGCCAGAGTGGCCCTGGGTGTCTGGAGGATGGTCAGGGCTGCAGACACCAAGCAGTATCACACTATCTCCCGCCATGCTTCTCCAGCATGCTGTCGGCCCCCACCACACCCCTCCTTACCAAAGTAGAAGTAGCCTCCCTCATCCTTGGGCTGGAAGAAGCGCCCACGGGCCTGGGCGTGGACGTCAGCTCCTTGGGCCACGAGGAGCTCCACGTAGTGTTTGCAGCGACGCTCGATGGCGATGTGCAGGGCCGTCTGACCTGGAGACAGGGGACAGTCATTCAGGGCCCTGGCGGGGCAGAGACCCAGCCAGGCTTGCTGGGGGTGGGGGTGGGGTGCAGGATGTAGAAATTGGGGTGGGAAATGCAGGCAGATTCCTGCCCAGCAACACCCAAGGGCAGCAAATAGGCCCTTGGATATTCCCCAGGATCCATCGCAGAAGCAGAATCTCAAGCCCAAAGGATACCCAGTTTGTGGAATCCTGAATGTGAGAACTTTTTAGATTCATAAGACGCCTTAAAAATCCTAGAGGAGGCCAGGTGCAGTGGTTCACGCCTGTAATCCCCGTGCTTTGGGAGACCGAGGAGGGAGATCACCTGAGCCCAGGAGTTTGAGGCAAGCCTGGGCAACACAGTGAGACCCCATCTCTATAGAAATGTTAAAAATTAGCTGGGCCTGGTGACTTACCCCTGTAGTCCCAACTACTCAGGAGGCTGAGGCAGGAGGATTGCTGAAGCCTAGCAGTTCAATACCAGCCTGGGCAACTGATAAGGTTTGGCTCTGCGTCCACACCTAAATCTTACCTTGAATTGTAGTTCCCATAATCCCCCCGTGTCATGGGAGGGACCCCATGAATGGTAATTTAATCATGAGGGCAGTTACCCTCGTGCTGTTTTGATGGTGAGTGAGTCCTCAAGAGATCTGATGATTCTATAAGGGGCTTTTCCCCCTTTTGCTTGGCACTTCTCCTTCCTAGAACCATGTGAAGAAGGGCATGTTTGCTTCCCCTTCCACCATGATTGTAAGTTTCCTGAGGCCTCCCCAGCCCTGCGGAACTGTGAGTCAATTAAATCTCTTTCCTTTATACATTATCCAGTCTTGGGCAGTTCTTTATAGTAGCATGAGAACAGACTAATACAACAACATGAGACCCCGTCTCTACAGAAATTTTTAAAATTAGCCTGGCATGGTGGTCCATGCCAGTGGTCCTAGCTACTTGGGCGGGTGAGGTGGGAGAATCGCTTGAGCCCAGGAGATCAAGGCTGTAGTGAGCCATGATCACACCACTGCACTCCAGCTTGGGTGACAGAGCAAGAACCTGTCTCAAAAAAAAAAAAAAAAGAAAAAAGAAAGAAAAAAGAAAGAAAAATCCTAGAGGAAACAACAGTACCTTGGCCTCCCAGAATTTTGGACTCAAGATAAAATATTCCTGGATTTTGAATCTTAATATCCAGGCATCTGAAGGTCAACTCTGATTTACAGAATCTCAGAATTCAGAACTGGGGAGCTTGGCCCCCTGCTGCCTTTGCCTCTCAGAGCTTGTGAGCTCAGGACTCATTATCATGGAGCCTTAGAGCACCCACCACCGCAGCATCCTAGGGCAGATCCCCAGGTCATGATCCCTAGACTCGCTGCATCTCAGAAGCTTGGAATCTTTTTTTTTTTTAGACAGGGTCTCATTCTGTCACCCAGGCTGGAGCTCAGTGGCACAATCATAGCTCACTGCAGCCTCGATCCTCTGAGTTCAACGGATCCTCCCACCTCAGTCTCCCAAGTACCTGGGACTACAGGTGTGCACCAACATACCTGGCTTTTTTTTTTTTTTTTTTTTTTTTTCGGGATGAGTCTTGCTCTTGTCTATCACCCAGGCTGGGGTGCAATGGCATGATCTCGGCTCACTGAAACCTCTACCTCCCGGGTTCAAGCGATTCTTCTGCCTCAGTCTCCCAAGTAGCAGGGATTGCAGGTACATGCCACCAAACGTGGCTAATTTTTGTATTTTTAGTCAGGACGGGATTTCACCATGTTGTCCAGGCTGGTTTTGAACTCCTGACATCAAGTGATCTGCACCCCCCACGTTGGCCTCCCAAAGTGTGCTGGGGTTACAGGCAAAAGCCACCGCACCTGGCCCTATTTTTTTTTTTTTTTTTTTTTTTTTTTTGCATTTTTAGTAGGGACGGGATTTCACCATGTTGGCCAGGCTGGTCTTAAACTCTTGACCTCAAGCGATCTGCCCCCCTTGGCTTTCCAAAGAGCCACCATGCCCGGTGGAATCTTCTGTTCTGAAACTCAAAACAAAGTTGGAAGGGGTAGTTACTGTTCCTTCATCCATCCATCCATCCATCCATCCATCCATCCATTCATTCATTCGTCAGGTCCTGGGTACAGGCTGGCACTTAGGCCCAGATCAAAGCTCTCAGGGGTCAGACAAGCAAAGGACAGTATCTCCACCAGCCCTCATGGCACCCCTGCGCAGCCCGGGGCCCACCTCGATAGTAGATGTCGCGGAAGGGCGAGTTGATGAACTCCCGCATGTTGCCGGTGCGCTCCGCGATGTCCAGCAGCACAGGGATGGTGTCATTGCGGCCGCTGCTCAGGTTCAGCAAGGCCTTGGGCAGGCAGGTCTTCCCTGTAGATGGCTCTAGCAGGAGAGACATACAAGATGAGGCGGTGCTCCAGCCCGTGACCTTGAACTTGTAGGCATCGGAGTACAGAGCACTGGGTAGGCGGTCAGACATCTTGGCTGCCAACATCTCCTCTCCGAGCCTGTTTCCTCATCTGTCCAGTGGGGACCCAGGGCCACTCTATCTGCCTCCAGTGGTGCTGAGAGGGTGCAATAAACTCATGGGCTTAGGTGCTTTGAAATGTGAGAGGCTTCAGCCTACAGATTGGTATTTATTTAATTAATCTTATTTGGGAAGATTTTTTATTTATTAATATATATATTTTTTTTAAGAGACAGGGTCTCACTCTGTCATCCAGGCTGGAGTATAGTGGTGCAATCCTAGCTCATTGCAGCCTCCAATTCCTGGGCTCCAGTGATCCTCCCACCTCGGCCTCCCAAGTAGCAGCTAAGACTACAGGTGTGCACCTCCATGCTTAACTAATTTTTTAATTTTTATTTTCGTAGAGAAGGGATCTCACTATGTTACCCAGGCTGGTCCCAAACACCTGGCCTCAAGTGATCCTCCCACCTCTGCCTCCCAAAGTGCTGGGATTACAGGTGTGAGCCACCACACCTGGCCCTTGAAAAACATTTTTGTAAAGTGCTTCATAAACAAGTAAATGGTGAGAATGCTGGGTTAAGCAAAGCCAACCATATTTCCTTACTACAGGACTTCTCAGCGCCTTTCATACACGAACAGGGACTGTGAACCTCTAAAAGCAAGACGCACTAGGCAGCGCTCACCCACCTGTCAGAGCACAGAGTCCTTTTCCCATGAAGCATTTACGCTGCGGCCCCTAGAAGGGAGTGGAGGGGTGTAGGGTTCCCCAAAGTGCGGGACTGTGTGCCACAGTGGACGCGAACTGACCTTAGGAGAGTCAGGAGAGAATCTTGGGGATTCTAAGGGTGCAACAATAATAACCCTGAAGGTTTCATCCACTATTGAAACTTTCTCACGAAGTCATTTCTCTGTTTGGTACTAGCAGGTCCTTAACGCCTCTCACTAACACTTGCTAATATCTCTTTGCAAGTTTCTTCCTATTGCAGCTATTTTTATGGTTACCTGAGTTGATTTATATCTCAAAAGAGTAAGTTGAAAACTCCCCTGTGAATCAAGGACAGGGCAAAATCATGCCAGGGGCTCGGGAATGGCCAGAGAGTGGGAGATGCAGGTGTGGGTTCAGGCATCCGTTCTGAAGCCAGGCACCTTGGGTTTGAGGCCTGGCTTTGCTTCCAACAGCTGTATGACCATTTCTCTGCTTAGGGTCCTTTCTGGCTAAATTAAAGCTATGAAGGGAAATCGAAGAGCAAATCAGTATTTGTTGATTAGCCCAGTACCAGGCAGATAGGAGTCTTTGATAAATATTAGTGTTGCTGTTATCATTCCATGAGACGGGATTTAGGAACCGTCTCCCTAAATGCCAGGAATCAGTGGGGCAGACTCACAGAGACCTGAATTCTAGTCTTGACCCTTCCAAGAGCAGGGTTGTTTGGGACAAGCCTCGTCCCCAGTTGCTTTCCCACTGTCCACCTGGCGCCCAGCTCAGAGGCGACACCATCCCTCTCATGGAATAATGTGGCCCAGCCACTGTCCCTCCCACATGCCTAAGACACTTCCCTCATTTCCCTCATTTTCCCCAGCATCTCTGGCCTTCCTTCATCCACTTTCCACATAGCAGCTGGAATGGTCACTTCAGACTGCAACTGACCATGGTGAACCACAGGGCTTTTGCATCTGCTGTCCCTGAACTCCCACCCCAATCTGAAACATTCCTCCCTCCTCTTTTCACCTGGTTAACTGCACCTCACTCAGACTCTGCTCAAGTGTCACCTCCTCCAGGAAGCTCTCCTGGATTTTCCCTAACTAGGTCAAATCCTCCGGTACAGACTTTTGTTGACACCTGTTACAGTTTGTAACTGTGTGCTTATTTCTGTGGTTGCTTGATCAATGTTCATCCTGTCCAGGAGCCTGTGGGCACCTTGATGGCACGGTGATGCCTGCTTTGCTCACTATTGTTCGGCCTCTGCCAAGCACAGTGCTTGGCATGTGGTGGGTGCCCCACAGCCATTTGCTGAGTTAACACACATCGAATGAAGGAGAGGGCCGGGCACCCCGGGCAATTCCAAACCATAGGTGACCCAAAGTGGAACGAGAGACCCTAGATTTGGGCTTTCAGACACGGGTTATAGACCCAGGGACCAGGTGCCTGGGTGCTGGGAGGAGATGTCAGGAGCAGGATCTTCCCAGAGAGGAGGTGGAACATGCAGTTCCAGAAACCAGCCACCAGGTGGCGAAGTGGCTCTGCCCAGGGTGGGCTGCTGTAGCCAGGGGCTCTAAATTGACAATTGCCAAATTGGAGGTTGTGAAAGTTTGCGGAGGGGAGGTGGGGGCAGGGGAGGGTGTCCCAGACTTCCCTGATAATCAGATGAGCTCATGACCCTTTAGCCATGCAGGGATGGATCCAGGTTTTATGGGACCTGGACTAAGTCCAGGACCTTAGAAAGGGCCTTAGCCAGGGGCCCTGGCACTTAATTAGTATCACGGACCTTACAGTAAGTCTCCCTCTACGCACATACACTACCCTCTGCAATTTCAGAGACCCACCTCCCACACTCATGCACAGACACACATGGATCTGGGGATTCCTGGACTGTGCTAAAAGCCCCCAACTCAGTCCTGAATTCAGGAGAAGCCAGAGGCCTTGACAAGCCAGCCTAGTGCTGAAGGCACAGGTGCCAGCGTCCATCTCCCAGGATTCGCTCTACACCAAGATTCCCCACCTTTGCCTCACGTACTTGGTGGACCAGGAGAGGCCATTTGGCCAGGGCTTAAACATGGGTTATCTGCAAATGAGATTATTCATGCCGTCACTGAGCTACTCCAGGAGCAGAGAGAAGCCCCACCCTCCCACAACTCTAAACTTGTGCCTCCAAATGAGGCCACATTGTCTGGCCGGGAACCATGAATATTTTTCATAAATCCAGCAATTGTCTTTTTTTTTTTTTTTTTTTTTGAGACAGAGTCTCGCTCTGTTGCCCAGGCTAGAGTGCAGTGGTGCAATCTTGGCTCACTGCAACCTCCGCCTCCCAGGTTCAAGTGATTCTCCTGGCTCAGCCTCCTAAGTAGCTGAAATTACAGGTGTGTGCCGCTAAGCCTGGTTCTTTTTTTTTTTTTTTGTATTTTTAGTAGAGACAGGGTTTCACCATGTTGGCAGGGCTGGTCTCAAACTCCTGACCTTAGGTGATTCACCTTCCTCGGTCTCCCAAAGTGCTGGGATTATAGGCATGAGCCACCATACCCAGCAATTGTTTCCTGGTAGACACAATGATACTGCATCAGTCAGTGAATGAGGTGGGGGGGGGTCATGTAACCAGACTTTACAGGTGATAAAGAATAAAGAAAAAAAAAAAAAAAAAAGGCTGCGGTAGTGTATTGGAGCTGCAGATGCTAGAGCAGTATAGCAATGGCCTCACGCCTGTTGAGGCCAGCCTTAATGGCTCACGCCTGTAATCCCAGCACTTTGGAAGGTTGAGGCAGGAGGATCACTTGAAGCCAGGAGTTTGATACCAGCCTGGGAAACATAGTGAGAGCCTGTCTCTTAAAAAAAAGAAAAAAAATTTTAGCCAGGCATGGTAGCTTGCACCTGTAGTTCCAACTACTCTGGAGGCTGAAGCAGGAGGATTGCTTGAGGCCAGAAGTTCAAGGCTGCAGGGAGCTGTGATCACACCACAGCATTCCAGCCGGGCGACAGAATGAGACCCTATCTCAAAAAAAAGAAACAGGTTGATAAAGATATATGCGGATGATGTGGCACAGACTTGTTCACCCTGTTTGGGAACTGAGTTTATTTAAAGTAACTGAGGTCTTAAAAAATGGCCTCTTCTGGTTGGGCGCAGTGGCTCATGCCTGTAATCCCAGCACTTTGGGAGGCTGAGGCAGGCGGATCACGTGAGATCATGAGTTCGAGACCAGCCTGACCAACATGGAGAGCCCTCGTCTCTACTAAAAACAAAGAATTAGCCAGGTGTGGTGGCACATGCCTGTTATCCCAGCTACTTGGGAGGCTGAGGCAGGAGAATCACTTGAACCCAGGAGGTGGAGGTTGTGGTGAGCAGAGATCACGCCTTTGCACTCCAGCCTGGGCAACAAGAACAAAACCGTCTCAAAAAAAAAAAGGCCTCTTCTGACATCCCTGAAGCTTCCTCAGACTTAGGCTGGAGACCAACCATGGACAGCCTTCCAAGATGGGCCCTTCTTCATAGCAGGTGTCCCAATTCTTTTCTTTTTTTCTGTTTGTCACCCAGGCTGGAGTGCTGCAGCCTCAGCCTCCTAGGCTCATGCAACCCTCCTGCCTTGGCCTCCCAAAGCACTGGGATTACAGGTGTGGTGAGCCATCATGCCCAGCCTAAGTGTTACATTTCTTGACATGGTATCTTGACTTGTGAGATCAAGGCCAGTTTAATAATGGCTTACCCAGAACCCAGCACATCGCAGGTGGCTGATTTGGGTGCAGGTGTTCACAGGTAAGGCCTGGGGATGTGGAGGGTGCCGGTGTCCTGAGGTGGGTGTTTTGAATCTGGACAAGGCTGAAGGGTGAGTTCTCTGGGCTGGGGCTTCAGCCTAGGAAGGGGAGCCCTAAAGTTGGGCTGGGGTGGAGCAGACCCCAAGAAGTAGAATCAGGACTACCAGCCCGGACACCCTGCCCATCCCTCCAGACCTTTCCTCAGGGGAGCAGGAGCTCCAGGACTCCAGCTGCCTGCACTGGGTTCTTTGTGGGATGAGAGCCAGGAGTATGCTGTGATTATTCCCCAGTTTACAGATGAGGAAACAGAGGCTCAGAGAAGTCACACATCACTTAAGTGGTAAAGGTGGGATCTGAACCCAGGTAGGTGGACTCTGCTTACCCACTACACTAACCTTTTCATAAATAAGGGCTGAATGAATGAATGAACGAGTGGAGGTAGCTGAGGCCCAGAGAGGTGAAGGACACACAGGACCAGACTCCCTGTCCAGTCTGGCACTTTCCAGACTCCCTGTCCATTGGCACTTTCCAGGCCAATGCAATCCACTGACCCAAAGGAAGAAGCTGAGGGAAAAGGGGGCCCCCAATGCCAGGCTTCCCCCACACCCCTGGCTGTCCCACTGGCTATGCCCATCTGGGTGGCTCACCTCGAAATTCCTCATCAGTCAGGCGTTTCTTGTGGGTCAGCAAGAAGGGGAGCAGCCCATCCAGGTCGGCAGTGGAGCCCCGGGACACAATGTCAAAGAGGATGGGCCTGTTGAAGACTTTGAGGATGGGGGGCGGCTGGGGGGCAGGGGCTTTGGGGCTCTGCGGCTGCTTCCTGGAGGAGGTAGGGAGGCAAGTTGATGGGAGGGCTCATCCCCTGCCTGCCCCACTGTCCCTGGCCTTAGGGACCCAGAGACTGTGGCGGGGGGCAGGCAGTTGAAGCCCTACAAGGACAGAGTGAGGTAGGTGGGGCAGCTGTAAAAACTAAGGAATGTTTTATCCAACAAACGATAGCTAGTACTACTGTGTGTTGGGTGGAGACAAACAGAAAGAAAGAAACGCACAGACTGCCCATACATCTATCCACCCATCCATCCACACATCCACTCACCCACCCGTCCATCTATCCATCCATCCATCCATCCTTCCATCCATCCATCACTCATCCATCCATCTACCCATCCACCCTCTCATCCATCTATCCACCCATCCATCCATCACTCATCCATCCATCTACCCATCCACCCACCTATCCATTCATCCCTCATCCATCCATCTACCCACCCACCCACTCCTCCATCTATCCACTCGCCCATCCATCCATCCATCACTCATCCATCCATCCATCTACCCATCCACCCACTCTTCCATCTATCCACCCATCCATCCATCACTTATCCATCCATCCACCCACTCATCCATCCATCCATCCACCCACCCACCATTCACCCATCCACCTACCTACCTATCCATCCATTCATCATTCATCCATCCATCCACCCACTCATCCATCCATCCATCACTCATCCATCCATCTACCCATCCACCCACCCACCCATCCATCCATTCATCCACCCATCCACCCACCTGCCCATCCATCCATCCATCACTCATCCATACATCCACCCACTCAGCATCCACCCATCTACCTACCCACCCATCATCCATCCATCACTCATTCATCCATCCATCCCTCATCCATCCATCCATCCATCCCTCACTCATCCATCCATCCACCCACTCATCCATCCATCTACCCATCCACCAACCCATCCATCCATCACTCATCTATCCATCCACACATCCACCCACCCACCCACCCATCCACCCATCCATCACTCATTCATTCATCTACCCATCCACTCACTCCTCCATCTATCCACCCATCCATTCATTACTCATTCATTCATCCACCCACTCGTCAATCCACCCATCCATCCCACCCATCCATCCATCCATCCAACTGCCCATCCACCCACCCACCCACTCATGTATTAGTCATTTATTGAGTACTTACTAAGGCAGAGAGACTGAAAGAGACAAAAAGAAAGAGAAAATAAAGAAACAGCAGACTAAAAGATGAGGCATTTAATCCATTCATTCCATAACTAACCCATTAATGTATTCATTCAGCAAACATTTGAGACAAATGAGGCCATGCTCATATGTACTTGCTCATGGCCCACCACAAGGTAAGCACTCAATAAATGTTAGTTGATATTACCATTATTAATGAGTGCCTACTGTGTGTCTGGAGCTTGTATGTGCATGGGAGAGATGTGGAGCTACAGAGACAGATGGAGGAAGGGCGTGGCACAGAGAGGGTTGGGAAGAGAAGAGATGGAGAAAGGAAGGAAACAGACACTAAGAGAAGGAGGGCTTGGAGACACTCATTCAGTCATTCAACAAGCATTTTTTTGGCACCTTTTATATGCTAGGTTCTGGGAGAGAAGAGCTAGCCCAGGGCCACCATGAGGCAGGAATGCTCTCTCTGTCACTTTCTTACCTGGCCCAGTGCCTGGCACATCTTGGGATGCAGTAAGACTCTGTTCAATGAATAAGAGGCTAAAGAGGAGGAAGATGGAGGCACAGGGTCTGGGAAGGAGAAGAGGGGAGAGTAGGGGAACAGAGAAAACCCTAACAAGAGGCAGCGGGGCCAGAGGGGAAGGGGGAATGCAGTTGGGAAAATTGAGGCCAGGGCAGGTTGTGGAAGCAGGTGGGACAGGGTTGCAAGGGTGGACAAAGCCGGCATCTGGCTGTACCCAGCCTGTCTTGCCATGAGAAGGGGATAGCCACTCTCTTCCTTTCCTCTTTGCCGGGGGTTGAGATTTTCCATCTCAGGGCAGGTGCTGGGAAAGGGGGTCATTAGCATCCACAGTAGGGTAAGAGGTGTGCTCTCCTGTTGACAGGGGCACAGGCACAGACACAGCCTCTAATGAGGGCACTTAGGCAGCCACCACTATACCTCTTCCTGAACTTTGACCTTTGAGCCAAAATAAAAAGGAATACTGCCCCTGCCAGATCTCACTGAGGCAGCCCTCAGGACTCAGCAGCGCCCCACTTCCTCCACCAGCCTGGACTTCCTGGGGTGGGGGTGGGGGTGGGGGTGGGGAGGAGGGCTTGCAGGAGGGGTCCGAGGGAGGCAAAGGGGAGACACAGAGCCCACTAGCTTTCAACAGGACCTGGGAGGGCTTGGGGACAGAAGGATGGGAACCCTGGGCACTCTGCTGCTCTGGCCCTCAGTTTCCACCTCTGAGCAGAGGTGGTACAGATTTTTCAGCACACGGACAACTGTGAAGCCCTGTTCCTTGGACATATCTGCAGAGCCTCTCCAGCCTTAGGCCCTTGCACTCACATTTCTCTCCACCTAGGACACCCTTCCCTCCCTCTCTGTGGCTGCCCCTTCGCAGCCCTTAGCTTTAGGCTTGAATGTTGACTCCTCCAAGAAACCCTCCTGGATTACCTTTCTTGTATCCACCCACTCTCTAACTTCAGCACCTCCCTCAGCTCACATGGCATATCCATGTGCTCAGCTACTTGCTTCTTGCCTGTCTCACCCTCTAAACTGAAAGTGTTGCCTGAGTAGAGGTGGATCTGGTCTGGCTCAGCCAGTAGCCTCAGGACCAACCCCACTGACTGGCAGATAGTGGGCACTCAAGAAACATCCACTGACTGGGTGTGGTGGCTCACGCCTGTAATCCCAGCACTTTGGGAGGCCGAGGTGAACGGATCACTTGAGGTCAGTAGTTCGAGACTAGCCTGGCCAACATGGTAAAACCCTGTCTCTACTAAAAATACAAAAATTAGCCGGGCGTGGTGGTGCACACCTGTAGTTCCAGCTACCCGGGAGGCTGAGGCAGGAGAATCACTTGAACCTGGGAGGAGGAGGTTGCAATGAGCCAAGATCGCACCACTGCACTCCAGCCTGAGTGACAGAGCAAGACCCTGTCTCAAAAAAAAAAAGAAAAGAAAAGAAAAAGAAAAGGAAAGGAAACATCCACTGAATGAATCAATGACTCTGTGAAAAAATAAAGCGGGCAGCTCTTGACCAAGCAAGGGCTGCGAAGGTGAATGGGCTCCATCCAAGAGATAAATGAATCCATGGCCAGCAAGGGGAACAGAGGAGGACCAGGCAAGCCCAGGTCATCTCCAGACCTCAGGACCATCCTCCAGGACACACACACAGGCAACCAAGAGGGGATTTCACGGAGCAGCTGAGGAAAGGGTCAATTCAGGGCACATTAGGGACAGCAGGGCCGGGACCGAGAAAGGATATGGTTCAGCAGGGCCTGCTGAGGCTCAGGAGGAGCTGGCTAGGAGACTGTAAGCCCTGCTCCCTTCCCCAAACTGCCAAAAGCTCGTGGAAGTCCCTGGGCTTCCTAAAGGACCAGGAGGGAGGGCTCAACCTCACAAAGCAGGGAGTCTGCAGGTGACAGACAACAGGGTCATGCTGGAAGCAGAACCCGGGATGACTGAGTTTGCAGAGTGCCACACAAACCACATGAGATGCCAGGCAAATGCCTCTGAGTCTAGAGTCTGGGCTGCAAGACTCAGCTCAGCAGAACCCACTGCGGGAGGATGGGGACCAGACAAGGTGGTCGAGGTGGGCTGGAGGCTCCCTGTCCCCAGCTAGGCCTGGCATGGAATACATAACAGGAGCCACATGCTGTCACCCCATCCAGGGCTTCTCTCCACTGTCTTTTCTTTCAGCAAGGCTGTCATTATGGAAAAGAAAGGGTGAATGCCTCGGGGTTTCCAGCTCTTTCTAAGCCTCAGGAAAGCCACTGGATGGCCAGGAATGGAGGTGATGCTTGAAGAAGACCCAGGAAGGGCAGCTGGCTGTGTGCCAGGAAGAGAAGGTAGGGAGATGGATGGATGAATAGATGCAAAAATGAAAGAAAAGATGAGCAAATGAATAAATGAATCAGTGACTAAGCAAACAAAGGAACGAATGCACAAATGGATGGACAGAGAGCTGGGTAAATAAACTGGCGGTTAGAAGAGAGAAGGAGGGGAAGGAAAGACAGAAGGCAGGCAGGTGAGCAATCAAGCATGAGAAATGGAATGAATGAATGAATGAATAGTTTGATAGCTGAATGGCTAGATGAATAGAAACAGTGGGTAGGTGAGAGGATGGAATGACATTCAGACGAGAAAATGGTAGATGAATGGAAGGTTGGTTATATGGGTGTATGGCTGGACAGATGGCTGACAGATGGGTAGATGGGTAGATAGATATTTTAATGAGTGGACAATGGATGGATAGATTGGACAGGTGGACAAAAAAGTAGAAAGATGGGCATCTGGGTGAATGAATGAGTAGATGGTAGATGGATAAATGGATGGATGGATGGATGAACAGATGTATAAATAAGAAGATAAACAAATGGAAGGCTGGATGTGTAGGTGAAGAGACGGACAGACAAGTAGATGAATGGGGGACAGATGAATAGGTAGATATGTAGGTGAATAAAAAAGCAGATGAGGCTGGATGCAGTGGCTCACGCCTATAATCCCAGCACTTTGGGAGGCCAAGGCAGGTGGATCACGAGGTCAGGAGTTCAAGACCAGCCTGGCCAAGATGGTGAAAACCTGTCTCTACTAAAAATACAAAAAAAAAAATTAGCTGGGTGTGGTGGCGGGTGCCTGTAATCCCAGCTACTCAGGAGGCTGAGACGGGAGAATTGTTTGAACTCAGGAGGTGGAGGTTTTAGTGAGCCAAGATCACGCCACTGCACTCCAGTCTGAGCAACAGAGCAAGACTCCATCTCAAAAAGAAAAAAAAAAAAGCAGATGAATGAATGGAGAGTTAGATGAGTAAATAGTTGTATAAATGAGTGGGTGGAGGGGTGAATGGGTAAATCGGTGAATGAATGGATGAATGGATGAACAGACAAATGTCCAATGGAAGGGTGGACAGAGGGGTAAATGGGTAGAGGAATGGATGATGGATTAATAGATAGATAGATGATGAAAAGATGGATGGATGATGGATAGATGGGTAGATGGATAGATAGATGGATGGATGGATGGATGGATGATGGGTGGATAGATAGATGATGGATGGATGGATGGATGGATGGATGGATGGATTAATGGATAGATGGACATATGGAATAATGATGAATAGATGAATAGATGGACAGATGGAAGGATGATGGATGAATGGATGGATGGATGATGGGTAGATGGATAGATGGGTGGATAGTAGATAGATGGACAGATGGAATAATGATGGATAGATGAATAGATGGATAGATGGAAGGATGATGGATAAATGAATAGATGGATGGATGGATGATGAATGATGGGTGGATGGATAGATGGATAGATGATAGATGGCTGGATGATGGATGGATGGACGGACGGATGGATGGATGGATGGATGGATGATATATGGATGGAGAGATGAATGGATTGATGGATAGATGTATGGATGGTTGGATGGATGGATGGATAGATGGATGGATGGATGGATGAATAGATGGATGGTTGGATGGATGGATGGATAGATGGATGGTTGGATCGATGGATGGATGGATGGATGGACAGATGGATAGATGGATGGACAGATGGATAGATGGATGGATGGATGAATTGACAAATATGTAGATAATAGATAGAGGGGTGGATGATGAATGGGTGAATGGATACAGAGGAGGAGACCACAGGCCAGGAATCTAACAATACTCACTCTATGATCTTCTTCCTCCACCTCTTGTTGTCACTGGGGTGGTGACGATAGGTGCCATAGTCAAAGAGTGAGTCCATGGGTGCTTTCTTGGGTCCAGGCACCACCGAGGACTCATATAGGGTGGACTCCAGCAGATCAATGGGGTTGGGCACCCCCTTGCGGAAGGCACCCTGAAACTTCATGCGCAGATTTGGTCGCCCATCGCCTAGGCCAGCAGGGCGACTGGCATCAGCCGGTGAGGGCGAAGGGGAGCCATCCTCCCCCTCGAACAGATTGGCCAGGGAGGAGAGAGGAAAAGCCTCCCCGCCTGGGGTGCCACTCTCATCCCCGGGGAGCTCAGCCACCTCCCCGGGACCCGCGCGGGGGCCTTCGCTGGAATCCGCCATGCCTGCCCCAGGCCCGTCTGCACTGCTCAGCCTGCAAGGGGATGAAAGGGGAGTCAGGCAAAACCCAGCCAGTGGCAGGGGCTCCAGGAAGCCCCCTCCCACGTAGACAAGCAGCAGTGCTGCCAGCTGCTTCAAAGCCACCGTTGTAATGACAGGGGCGCAGGGAGGCCACTCCCAGATGTGGTTGGCCGCCAGCCTCAGGCGGGAACTGCAACAGGAGCCTCTTTTAGGAACCTGGAAACACAAATTGGCCCCAGGTCCAACTACCCTGGGCATTAGCTGAAAGAGGGTGGACTTCGGGGTCACGCTGGGACCCCATACTTGGATCCCAGACCCTACTGCTGACCAAGAAAGCCAGCTGTGGAGCCCCAGAGAGCCAAGTTCAAATCCAGGCTCCACACTTCGTCATTCCATGACATTGAGCAAGTCATAGCCTCAGTTTCCTGATCTGTAAGATGGGAATATCCAAGCCCCATGGGTAGAACATGCAGTCCAGTGGCCAGTGCAGTGCAGTGCCTGGCACGTGGTAAGCACCTGCTAAAGCAGAACTATTAACCGTGGGCTTCAGGCACAGGAAGGGCTCAGAAAATCCATGTGGACTTGCTGTGTGGGCCGGCAGTCCTGTTTCCTCATCAAACACCGTCATGATGATCCCCATTTTACAGAACAGGAAACTGAGGCTCCAAGACTTGAGTTGACTTCCCCAGTGCACCAACTCTGCTCCACAGCACAAAGTGCTGATTCCTCCCTGCACCTCTGCCTGGTTAACTCCTCCCCACTGGAACTCCCCAGTTCCAGCTCAACTGGGCTCCTCTGGAAAGCCTTCCCCGGACTGCACACACTCGTTCCCAGGATCTGTGCTCGTCTCCTCGGAAGCTTTATCCCAGCTGTTCACGGGATGGTTCATTCCCAGGCTGTGGGCGCAAGGAGGCAGGAAACGTATCTGTTCATCCTTGAGTCCTCACACAAATGAGCAACTTTATGACAAAGATGTCATTTGTTCCCATTTCTCAGATGAGGAAGCAGGTTTCAAAGGCAGCAAACAGCCTGCAGGGAGAAGGGCTGGACTTGAACCACGTCTCTCTGGCTCCTGGGTCCAGTGCTTAGCCAGGAGCCAGGGCAAGGGAAGAACAAGGCCCCACTGGTTGGCTGTCAGCCCCCTGTTCTCTGTAGCATGGTGCCAGCCAGGCGGGGCTGGGCACCGAGGGTGAGTTTCCTGGAACTCTTAGCACCCCACCCAGGAGGCGGGAGCATGTCTGAAAAGCCCTCTCTTATACATCTCACCCTTCCCACCCAATACACACGGAGAAAAACAAATAAACTAGTTCCCACCTTGTTTGTTCTGTGGCTTCCAGGGGGGAAGGCTTGGACCAGAGAGGCGGGGACACAGCAAGAGGACTCCCTTAGTGGGCGCAGCAGGACACAGAGGGTCAGAGCTCCCTCCGGGGGCGGGCTCCCCTCTGGACACCAACAGGGAGACACAGCCTGGCCTTTGGAGTCATTCAGGCCTGGGTTCTAATCCCTTTACATGTAGTGTGATCTTAGGTAAGTTACTTGAGCTCCCCAAGCCTCAGTTCCCTCCTCTGCAAAATGGATACAATTGAAGTCACTTTTTCATAGGGTTGGAGGCAGTGGGAAGTGAGGTCAGATATATCCAGTGCCACTTCTGGGATTAAAGTGGAGTTTTGGCTGGGTGCAGCAGCTCACGCCTGTAATCCCAGCACTTTGGGAGGCCAAGGCAGGTGGATTACTTAAAGTCAGGAGTTTGAGACCAGCCTGGCCAACATGGCGAAACCCCATCTCTACAAAAAATACAAAAATTAGCTGGGCATGGTGGCATGTGCCTGTAATCCCAGCTACTCAGGAGGCTGAGGCAGGAGAATCACTTGAACCCAGGAGGTGGAGGTTACAGTGAGCCAAGATGGCACCATTGTACTCCAACCTGGGTGACAGAGCAAGACTCCATCTAAAAATAAATAAATAGAGTGGGGTTTTCAGTTACTATAACCAAAGGAAGAAAGAGAAGTTAGGAGGCCAGGTTCCGAAATCAGACCGACCCAGTTCCTGTCTTGGCCCTGGTCATTAGCTGTTTGGCCATGGGCAAATCACTTCCTCTCTCTGCCCCTTGGTTTTCCCACCTGCAAGACCAGAGTGACCACGCCTGTTCCTAGGGTCCTCCAGCATGTGAGGCACCTACTCAGTGCCAGCACCTAGTAGGACCTCTGGAGACATGAAGTCCTTTTGACTGGCCAGGTAGGAGAGGGGGATCTGGATCCCAGTCCCTCATGGCTGCCACATGCGTTTGGGCTTTGCTCTTCAGGAATGGGGGCCGGGGGGATGCTGAGGCAGGAGGGGCATCTGCAGGGGCCCAGGCATTGGCGGGAGGCGGATTAGACTCTCCTGAGCACAGCCCTGCCCACCTCACTGGGGGCCCTGAGATCAGGGGGAGACAAGACATCAGGCACACCCTCTGTGTTGTCAATACCCTTCTATCCACTGCACCTCTCACCATGGCACCCCAGGGGCTAATGGAACCCCACCCCAGGGAGCTCCCAAGGCCAGAGAAGGCAGCCAAGAAGCTCCTTCCATCCCCCATCATTCCTGCACCCTCCTCCCCTCAGGAGGATAGCCCTCCCCTAAGCCTGGACAGCACCCCAGGTTCCTGCGGAGTCCAAAATGGGGGCTCTGGTGCCAGCCAATCCCGGGTTCAGATCCCCTCCCAGCAACTCTCAACCTGTCTGGTTTCCGTGTGGCCTTGGGCAAGTCATGCCACGATCATGATTAGCATTCTAATTACGATGAAATAATAATTATGAACTAAATCACCATCCTCGCCTGATGACATAGCTCAGGCTGTGCCCAGCATGGGGCCTCATCTAGCCCTCACCATGACTCCAGACCAGTCGTTCTCAACCAGGGACAGTTCCGCTCCTCCCCTAAGGACATTTGGTAATATCTGATAATATGTTTTGTTGTCACAACTGTACAGGAGAGGGAGCACTGCTGGCATCTGGTAGGTCAAGGCCAGGGATGGCACTAAACATCCTCCAAAGCAGAAGATAGCCCCGCACCACAAAGAATGACCCAGCCCACAATGTCAATAGCGCCGGGACTGAGAACACCTGCCCTGGAGGTAGGTATTGCAATCATTCCCATTCTACAGATGAGGAAACTGAGGCTCAGAGAGGCTAAGCGACTTGCCTGAGGTCACACAGCAGGTTAGTGACAGAGCCAGGACTGAAATGCGAGCAGCTGGCTGCAGAGTCCGGGCTGAATCCCTCCATGCACTGGGGATGTCCTGGGTGCCAGGTAAGGGTGAAAGGGAGCTATCCTCACCCTCAAACAGATTGACCAGGGAGGAGAGGGGGAAGGCCTTCCCACCAGGGAGCTCGGCCACCTCGCTGGGCCTGCACAGGGGCCTTTGCTGGGATCCACCATGCCGGATGGCACTAAACATCCTCCAATACAAAAGACAGCCCCACACCACAGAGAATAACCCAGTCAACAATGTCAACAACACTGAGGTTGAGAAAATCTCCCCTAGAAGTAGGTATTGCAATCATTCCCATTTTACAGATGAGGAAACTGAGGCTCAGAGAGGCTAAGTGACTTACCTGAGGTCACACAGCGGTTAGTGATAGAGTACCAGGGTGCCACCTAAGCATTTAGTGTCTCCTTCGAGCTTCCCAACCACCCCAGGAGGTAGCCATGATTACTGCCTGCCCATTATCATCTCTCTGAGCCTCAGTTTCTCTACCTGTAAAATGGGGATTGCAATAATAACACCTCCCTTGTAGGGCTTCTGGGAGATAAGGCAGGTCAAGTGTTTCTTGGGCACCTCAGAAATACTTGCTAAATGTTTGATCTTGTCATATTTAATCATCATCATCACCACTATGATACAGTCCTGATTTACCTGTCCTCCCTTACTCCCCTTCCCCAAAACACACATGCACACACGTGCCAGAAGTACAGCCTGGCATTTTATAGCCCATGCTAAAATCCACCAAGCCCCTCTCTCATTTAATCTCCCGAAGAACCTGGACAAAGCTAGGCTACCGCTCCCACTTTACAGCTAAGGAAATGGAGGCTCTGAGAGGCCAGCTAGGGAGCAAATGGCTTTGAAGAAAACCTCCAGACTCCTAGCCCTGGGCTCCTTCCACATCACAGCACTCAGGGGTGTGTACGCACCAGCTCACGTGTACACATACACATAGGCATGCGTACACGTACACACACACCACACACACACACACCACACACACACACACCACACATACACACCACACACCACATACACACATCACACACACACACACACACCCCCCACACACACCCCACACACACACACACCACACACACACACACCACACATACACACCACACACCACATACACACATCACACACACACACACCACACACACCCACACCACACACACACCACACACACACACACCACACCACACACACCACACACACACCACACACACACACACACCACACCACACACACCCACACCACACACACACCACACACACACACACCACACACACACACACCACACACCACATACACACATCACACACACACACCCCCACACACTCACACACCACACACACACCACACACACACACACACACCACACCACACACACCCACACCACACACACACCACACACACACACACCACACACACACACACCACACATACACACATATACCACACACACACACCACACACACACACCACACACACACCACACACACACCACACACACACCACACACACACACCACACATACACACATACACCACACACACACACCACACACACACACACACACACCACACACACACACATACACACACCACATATACACACACACCCCACACACAACCACACACACACACACACCACACACACATACACACACACACACAACCACACACACACACACACCACACACACACCACGCACACACCACACACACACGCCACACATACACACACATACACCACACACACCACACACACACATACACACACACCACACACACACACACACACCACACACACATACACACACACATACACACACAACCACACACACAACCACACACACATACACACACACCACACACACCACACACACAACCACACACACACACCACACACACACGCACACACACACACACCATACACACATACACACACATCACACACACACCACACATACACACACATACACACACACATACACCACACACACATACACACACATACACCACACACACACACACCACACACCCACACACATACACACACACACATACACCACACACACACACCACACACACACATACACACACACCACACACACACAAACCACACACACACACCACACACATACACATACACACACTACACACACATACACACCACACACACACATACACACACACACCACACACACACCACATACACACACACACACCACGCACACACACACACACCCGGCTCTGCTGCTCTGTGGCAATTCCCTCCCCAAACACTGCCCTGTTCTCTGTGGTCAGAAAAAGTTTACTCCCTGTTCTAATTTGCCCTGAAGGCTGTTATTACACATTCCAAACTCATGCCAGCTTTAGGAGGGAGGGAAGAGGGGGATGCAGGCAGGGAGAGAGGCTGAGAGCCTGGGTGTGAGTCCACGTGAGTCTCCGCTGCGTGTGACTGTCATGTACATTTCTTCCCACCTTCCTCCACGTGCATGTGCACATGTGTGTGCCCACTATGAGCAGGCACGGTAGGCCCTTCGTTCCCGCACGGGCTCACAATGCCTCCTACCAGGAGCCCCTCCACAGTGGGGAAGCTCCCAGCTGCACCAGGTGTGCATCAGGGAGGCACCCAAGAATGTTCCTGCATGACTGTGAACATCCCCACACACTGACATGGTCACAACACACTTCATTCAGAGCAGCGGGTGTTTGTTTGTTTGTTTGTTGAGACAGGGTCTCACTCTGTCACCCAGACTGGAGTGCAGTGGCACAATCTCAGCTCACTGCAACCTCCGCCTCCCAGGCTCAAGTGATTCTCCTGCCTCAGCCTCCCAAGTAGCTGGGATTACAGAAACATGCCACTACCACTCGGCTAATTTTTGTATTTTTAGTAGAGATGGGGTTTCATATGTTGGCCAGGCTGGTCTTGAACTCCTGACCTCAAATGACCCACCCGCCTTGGCCTCCCAAAGTGCTAGAATTACAGGCATGAGCCACTGCGCCTGGCCAAAGTAGCAGGTTTTTTTTTTTTTTTTGAGACGGAGTCTCGCTCTGTCGCCCAGGCTGGAGTGCAGTGGCGCGATCTCGGCTCACTGCAAGCTCCGCCTCCCGGGTTCACGCCATTCTCCTGCCTCAGCCTCCCGAGTAGCTGGGACTACAGGCGCCCACAACCGCACCCGGCTAAGTAGCAGTTTTTTAACATGTTGGTTTTAAATCCTATATATTCAAAAGAAGGTTTATATTCAAACCCTTCTTTAGAACATATATACCAAACGGTGGTCCACACAGAGATGGCAGTTGTGTAGGATGGACAGAGAAAGAATCTGCATCTTCCTCTGGAAAGGGTCCAAGGGGCAGGAGTAGAAGCCAGCTACCTATTTATTTATTCCACACTTTTACTGAGCACCTACTATGTGCCAGGCACTGGTGCTAGGTACTAGGGACACGGATGTGAACAAAACAGATAGCAATCCCTTTGG